ACGTTATCACAGTGTGCAGGGGAGAGCGGGGTGCCCGGGTCGCTGACCGGTCGATTCGGCGGTTCGGCTTTTGTAGATCTATGCATTTTTTTTAACGGAAAGCCCTATTACTAGATCTATTAGTGTTGTGAAAACTTCAACCTCAACAGCAAAGGCGTCAAAAGATGTTGGAAAATAATACGTCCTGAAGTTTCATAATTTATACAGAATAACACAGCCAGAAGTTTTTATTTCATCGAGTTATAAAAATGGCCTTGTAACTTGTTTTCAGAAGCAAATTTTAATAGTTCCAGTTCTACCGAATCGATTTTCATGCAAATTCAACCATTTTGATGACCTTTCTTTTCCTTTTAAAAAGATATAGGCCTGTCGGATGTGGCAGTGCGATTAACACTGAGTTGTTTAGACCCATCAAAACACGAGGCTTTGTGGCCGATCACAAAGGTCTACGGGGCTTATCGAGGCCAATTCGCCCTGCCGCGTGCTCATTCACTAAACTGCCTACTACTAGATAGAATCCACTACCAAAGATTCTCTACACGATCTTTGCTACTACTACTACTTGATCTACATGTACTACTACGAGACAGTACGAGAGATGTACTACTACGAGACAGTACGAGAGAGTGTCAACCAGGCAAAGATAGTGTAACTTTGACTCAGCCACTTTGTGTACACACTTTTTATACCCCAAATTTGACCCGGAAGTCCATTCGGAGGATTTGACCTTTTCACTTGACCAAAGAGTCTACATAACAACTTACAAGAGGGGCCACTTCTCTCTTTGAGCCAATTAAAAAAGTGTCCTCAAAATTCGGTGGCGCCCTCTTCGCAAAAGCGCACTTTTAGCGAACAGAGTTATCCTACTTGAGTTTAAAAAATCAAAGTGAAACTAGCATGTTTTTAATGAATTTCGGAAGAGCGCTTTTTTTAAATGGTTACGCTGACAAAAAAACCTCTTTCCGGAGAAAGAGTGATTGTTTTCTTCGTTTAATTTGACTTGAGAATGAAAGGCGAGAGGTCATTAAAAAATTTTTAAACTAAAACTCCGTACTGAACGAACCCGAACTGCTGATGAACAGCAGTCGATCTGCGCATGCAAGGAGGTGCTATTCCTATTCTTCTTCTGGAAAAACGAAAGAGAGCTTCAAAACAGACTGCAGCGCCATCTGAAGCAAAGAGCATACTTCCTGAGGACACTTTTTTTGGCTGAGTGGCCCATCTTGTTATTTACTATCTTTGACTTGACCAAAGTGTGCCGAAATGGTAGCCTAGATTTTGCCCCTCCATGAAGGAAAAATCTGGCCCTCATTCAAACCATTGGGATTGAGCAAAATTTTGCGTATCGTGCTTTGTTCTTACAATATTCATTATGATATAATATATATATATATAAGTTGTACACTGAGACAAAACTGTATTAAATGAGTAAGGTGCACCATTATGAAAGTGGAACGAACTCAGTTGCCTGAAAAGGGTGTCCCCCGGTAGTTTGAGCAT